TGTCAATATCATTTATGTTTCAAAACAATACCTCAGTTTTGTTTATATTTTTATAGTGTGTTTCAGTCTGTATTTCATTTATTTCTGCTCTGATCTTTGTTATTTACTTCCTTCTACTAACTTTGGGCTGAGTGTGTTGTTTTTCCTATTCCAGGAGGTGTAATGTTATTTATTTGAGATATTTTTTCCTTTTTAATATAGGCATTTATTACTCTTCCCTCTTATAAATTCTTTTGTCCCATCCCATAACGTTTGTATGTTGAATTTTCATTTTCATTTATCTCAAAGTATTTTTAAATTTCCCTTTTGATTTCTTTTTTGACTCCTTCATTGATGAGGATTGTGTTATTTAATTTCCACATATTTATACATTTTCTAATTTTTCTTGTTATTGATTTCTAGTTTGATACCATTATATTTGGGAAAGATGCCTTTTATGATTTCAGTCTTCTTAAATTGGTAAGAGTGGTTTTGTGGCCTAATCTATGATTTATCCTGGAAAATATTTTATGTATGCTTAAGATAAATGTGTATTCTGCTGCTGTTGGATGTTATGTTCTGTATATATCTCTTGGTTCCATTTAGTGTAAAATATGGTTTAAGTCCGTTGTTTTCTTAGTGATTTTTCTGTCTGGATGATATATCCATTGTTAAAAGTGATGTGTAGAAATCCTTTACAATTATTGCATTAGTGTATTTTTCCTGTCAGATCTCTTAATATTTGCTTTGTCTATTCAGTTGCTCCTATTTTGGGTACATCTATATTTACAATTATCATATCCTCTTGAGAAATGGACCCCTTTATTATTATGAAACAGCTCTCTTTATCTCTTGTTCTAGTTTTTGACTTAAAGTCTATTTTGTTTTCTGTACAGCTACTCCTGCTCTCTTGGTTTTCATTTGGAAAATCTTTTCCCATTACTTCATTTTCAGCCTATTTGTGTCCTTACAAGGGAAGTGACTCTTTTTAAGGTCGTCATATAATTGGATCTTATTATTTTATCAATTCAGACACTCACTATTTTTATTGGAGATTTTAATCTATTTACATTATTGATAGGTATTGCTGCCATTTTGGTAATTGTTTTCTGACTGCTTTGTAGATTATTTGTTCTTTTCATCCTCTCTTGCTCTCTTCCTTTTTAATTTTATCCTTTAATTATTTTCTCCTTATCTTTTGTGTATCTACTATAGATTTTTGCTTTGTAGTTACCATGAGGCTTACATAAAACCTTTTAGAGTTATAACAAGCTATTTTAAGCTAATAACTTTACTTCAATCATACATAAAAACTATACTCCCTCCCAATAGTATGCTTCTGAGATCACAATTTATATCTTTTTAGATTGTGTAGTTATTGTTATCGTAGCTATAATTATTTTTAATACATTTATTTTTTAAGACAATACACTTACCATTTCGTGTGAGTTTTATACTTTCATGTGTTTTTATGTTACTAGTTAGCATCATTTTCTTTCAATTCAGAGGCTTCCCTTTATCATTTTGTGTAAAACAGCTCTAGTGATGATGAATATCCTCAGCTTGTATTCATTTGGAGAAGTCTTTATCTCCCTTTCATTTCTGAACAATAGTTTTGCTGGGTAAAGCATTTTTGGTTGGCAGTTTGTCTTTCTTTTAGCACTTTAAATATATCATCCTACTTTTCCTTGGCCTGCAGGGTGTCTGCTTATAAACCCACTGATAGTCTGATGGAATTTCTTTATATATCATTAGCCTCTTTTCTCTTGGTGCTTTCAAAATTCTCGATCTTTGATTTGTGTGTGTGTGTTAGCAATCTTTTACTGGAGCTTGATTCTATGTCTTGGTAAAGTCTTCTTTGGACTGAACCTTATTGGAAATCTTTGAGCTTCATATACCTAGATGCTTATACCTCTACCTACCTTTGAGAAGTTTTTAGCCATTAATTTTCTAAATAAACTTTCTAGCCCTTTCTGTTTCTCTTCTCTTTATTATACACCCATTAGGCAAAAGTTAGCTCTAATGATGGTGTCCATAAATTTCATAGTCTTCATTCATTTTCATTCTTTTTTTTCTCCTTTCACTGTATATGTTCAAATGATCTGCCTTTGAGTTCACAAATTGTTTTTGTTTGCTTGATCAAGTCTGCTGCTATTGTTTTCTACTGCATTTTAAATTTCATTCACTGTCTTTTTCAGCTACAGAATTTTCTTTGATTCTTTTTAATACCTATCTTTTTACTGGACTTCCAATTTTGTTTATGTATTGCTTTTGTGTTTTTATTGACTTGCCTATCTGTGTTCTCTTGTAGCTCACTGAGCTTCCATTGAACAATTATTTTGAATTGTCAGGCAATTTGTCTAACTCCATTTCTTTGGAGGTGGTTAGTGGAATATTTTTGTGTTCTTTTGGTGGTGTCTTGTTTCTCGATTTTTCTTGATCCCCGAGTCTTGTGTTGCTTTATTCACATTTTAAAAAGTCATCTCCAGTTTTTACTGGCTGACTGCAGGAAAGAAATACCTTCACCAAATATCTCAGGAATTTCAAGGCTCTTTCAGATCTTTTCTGTAGATGTGCCTATTGTTTTCTATGTGGGAGAATTCTTAATACCGTATGCCTTCTCTTGAAACTTCAAAGCTGGTGCTGATACCCTCCTGTTGTTTTGGGGTGGCACCCTAAAATACTCAAGTTTGTGTACTTTTTCCCAATCATGCAGAGTTAGGATGTCCGTCTGTACAAGCTGCTTGTAGTTGCCACCCACAAGGGTGTTTCTGATGAGTTGTCCTAGGTGAAAGGGTGAGGCACATTGAGCCTTTGAGGAGCCTGTTGGCCAGTTAGAAGTTCACAGGCGAGGTCTGCTAAGTGACTGATGGGTGGGCTTCCTGATGGAGTCTGTGGAGTGGTTAGTAGGGTCTGGAGGTTCACTTCTGTGCTCCCAGCCCTCTCAACCACTCAGACATGTTGATTACTTCAGTATTTTGGGTAGGATGAGAAAAAACCGTGGGCCTCTTGAGCAATACCTCACATAGCTGAAGGAGTCAGATGCTCTGTCACTATGCTGTAACTTTCCCTTGTGGGAGAAACAGCAAACCAATAGGGTGTCTCTCAGCATTAAGCGCTGCTGTCTCAGGGGTAGAAAATTCCTTTTCTGCCATCTTGCTAACATACTTTTCAGATGTTTTATTAAAAGTTTAGGCTGGGCGCAGTGGCACACGCTTGTAATCCCAGCACTTTGGGAGGCCAAGGCAGGCGGATTACGAGGTCAGGAAATCGAGACCATGGTGAAACCCCGTCTCTACTAAAAATACAAAAAATTAGCTGGGTGCGGTGGCAGGCGCCTGTAGTCCCAGCTATTCAGGAGGCTGAGGCAGGACAATGGTGTGGACCCGGGAGGCAGAGCTTGCAGTGAGCTAAGAGAGCCCCACTGGACTCCGTCTCAAAAAAAAAAAAAAAAAAAAAAAAAAAAGTGTATTGATGAATAGGTACAGAAAATAAATGTACAACATGTATGTGAGAGATTCTCGTTCTGATGACATACATTTAAAAATATTTATTGCTTCAGGTATTACTTCAACAAATATTAAATGTCAAATTTGTTTGAGGCTTGAATCAAACATGCAGAATGCTGAGAATAAAGTGATAAGACATGTGTAATCCTTACCGTTGAGGAAACAAAATATGTTTCTTTTAGCTAGGCAGATGAAATTAGTAAAACCTGGGGCATAAGATGAGTTATACTGAAGAATTTAGCCTTTTCCCAAAGACTCTGGAAAGCAGGTAGAGAATCTGGTTCATGTAATTACATGTTTATATAGGAAATATTACTCTGGTTTCAGGTAAAAATGAAGGGAGAGGAAAAAGAGTGAGAGTGAAGTGTGGAGATCAGAATGAAGTTGATACAGTCAGGCCAGGCGCAGTGGCTCACGCCTGTAATCCCAGCATTTTGGGAGGCTGAGGTGGGCAGATCACGAGGTCAGGAGACCCAGACCATCCTGGCTAACACAGTGAAACCCTGTCTCTTTTAAAAATACAAAAAAGTTAGTTAGGCGTGATGGTGGGCGCCTATAGTCCCAGCTACTCGGGAGGCTGAGGCAGGAGAATGGTGTAAACCTGGGAGGCAGAGCTTGCAGTGAGCCAAGATCGTGCCACTGCACTCCAGCCTGGACGACAGAGCGAGACTCCGTCTCAAAAAAAAAAAAAAAATGAAGTTAATACAGTGAAAGGTGGGATATGATAGCTCCCAAATCACGGCTCATGACTATGACTTAAGGAAACTAGATGAATTTTAGAAATATTTATGATGTGAGCTTGCCTAATTTGGTTAGTAGATATTGCAGAGATAAGAAAGAAAAAAGAGATTAAAAAGTTTTATAGCAAATTAATTGGGCACCCAACTTAAACATTTCACCAGTTTTTCATATACAGTCTTGAAACAACCTGGAGATGGAAGTTTCACTCGTCAGTTCATGTATGTAGTATCATAATGGGTCAACTGATGTTATTGTGTTGATTCAGTATTTAATACTTTAAATAAGAAATAGGAGGCAATAGCTTGTATTGTCTCAACCTGCACAGAAAAGGTTTTGAAACATAATATATTAGCTATTGCTTAAAACAATACATTATCTCATGTATTCTGTGTCATGAGTCGAGGAATAATTTAGTTAGCGTCCCGTTTAGAGTTTAACAAAGCTGCAATCAATATGTTAGCCAGAGTACTAGTCTCATCTAAGGCTCAACTGGAGAAGGAACTTCGTTTAAGCTTATGTGATTGTTGGCAAAATTCAGTCTTCTTGCAGGTTATCGGACTGAGGGTTATGACTTTTTTACCAGCTGCTAGACAGAGGCCACCCTCGGTTGTCATGTGGCCCTCTCCATATTCTAACTCACGTGATGCTCCGACCTCCCGCCTGGGCGCCCCAGTGGCGCGAACCAGAGTGCGCCTGCGCGCGGGCCACAAGGCGCTTGCAGCTGGGAGAAGCGCGGCCACACTGAGAGTCGCGTGGTGCGGTACCCTGGGAAGCCGCCCCGCCTCTCCAAGACCGCCCTGCCCCGTCCGGCCCCGCCCCCTTCCCGGCGGGAAGCTCTGAGCCACTCTGAACTGCGAACCGCGCAGAGTGGCCAGAGGTGAGTGTCCACAAGGGTCGTGCGTCGCGCAGACCAGGACGGGTCCGCGCTGGGGCGCTGGCTGTCAGTATGCCTTGCAGGGACCAGGGGACAAAATGGCGGCGGGGTGCGCCTCTTTATCTTTCACAGTAGTTTACACTCTTAAAACTTGAAGTCAGTTTCAGACTTGTTTTTCACATTCTATTTATTTGAAACCGACAAAAAGCAAGAAAACAGATGGAAAATACACCAATGGCAGCTGGTTTCTTAAAAGCCAGCAAGGGAAATAATGTCTGTTAGGAAGACAGCTGTTACAATCTTACATGTCATAATTACATTTAGCATGTCACTTTTGTTGTATTCTACAGGCTAGAACAAAGTCACGAGTCTGACCTAAACTCAAAGGGAGAAGAGTATGCAAGAGCCAAAGCATGAGATGGAAACCATGGGGCCATCTTTGAGTCTGTCTGCTGCAGAAAGATGAACACAAATCCTGTGAGTCTCTAGATTATGTTTTTTCTATATGCTCAAAGATTTAAGGATACGATGATACCTAAACCAAAACAATAGTGTATTATAAACATACCTTTCTTGTTTTAACCTGTCTTACATGTTTGCTTTTCAATATCTCAAAAGTTGTGTTTGTAGACTTCAAATAAGTAATTATCCAATTATAGTTGACTCAGAAAATACAACATTATTTTCCAAAGCAGTGAAAATTGTGCTTTGCGGCTCTCGAGATACTACTTTGAGCAAAAAAAAAAAAAAAAAAAAGCTTAGAAAAAAATGTGCCTGAGTATCAGGGTGTCTTGTAATTCAATTGAAATTCTTAAAGCTTCTTTCTATTCTAATATTCTTTGTGTAATCCCTGATGAGTATTCTGTGTATATGGTAACACAAACAGGCTTAAATTTGGGACAATTTTAATACTGACTGGTAAGAAATTTATAGAAGAGATGAAAGAGCTGTTCTTACTGTTGCTTGTTCATCTTTTCTACTAAGTCTTATTGAGCAGAATGGTAAGAAAATAACTCCTAATACACATCACATAAGCAATGCATATAGACTACATGTATTGCCATTCATAAAATTTGTCTCTAACAACAACTATGTCAAAGCTACGAATGTTGCATCCCATTTAGTCTTCTGTAATGCTTTTCATTCCTTAATTCACTATTGGCCGTATTCTTGCCTATCTAAGACCAATTACAAAAGATAGTTTACTTTCATTTTTTTCTCCCGTTGCCATAGTTTCACATCAGTTAGGTAGAGCAGCAAGTCCCAAGTGTTCCTATAATTATTTAGCGCAGAATTCTAAGTATCTGAAAATGCAAAATCCTGCAATACTGTCCAATTGTTTGTTTAATCACACATATATGAAAGAATTAAAAAACCTGCAATGGTATCGCTAGCGTGAGTACTCCAAAATAAATTAGGCATGACTGTTGCCATCAAGGGGCATGCAATCTATTTTGAAAAATATATCTATGAAACAATGCCTCATGTTCTAAATGCTGTGAGACTAACAATAACAGAAAAGCAATGGTAAAATTACTAACAACTTTAGTATCAGGAACGGTATATCCTTTTTACATGAATCATCTAGTTTAAAATTAGTCCCATTTCTGTGAGGATGAGTTCATTTTATTTTTTTTATTGTGAGTATTAAAAATTAACACAATTTTAGTGTCTTAAAACAGTATAAATGTATTATTTTACAGTTCTATGGATCCAGGTCTAGCACCGGTTTTAGTGGGCTAAAACTGAGATGTGGCCAGGGCTGTGTTTCTCTCTGGAGGCCCTGGGAGACAACGTCTTTCTCTGCTCATTTAGATTTTTGGCAGAATTCGGTTATATGTGGTTGTAGGACTGAGGTCTTCATTTCCTTGCTTCTAAGAGCTACCCACATTCTATGACTCATGGCCTCTCTCTCCATCTTTAAAGCCACCGAGAGTTGGTCAGGTCCTTGTGTTGCATCTGACATACTCATCTACCTTGTTCTTCTACTTTTAGAAACCCATGTGATTAGATTGGACCAACTTTAGTAGTCAAAGATAATCTAATCTCAGGAAGATTTACTCTTGTCTACATAGTTCCTTTTGTGGTATAAGGCAATATATTCACAGAAAATTAGGGTGTGGACATCTTTGGTGCCCGCTATCTACCAACACAGCAATCATTGTAGCCATTTAAAAGATGAGAAAAGTCATTTCCAAAGCTACAAAGGACATTATTTAGACCCAGGGTGTATAATCTGTTTCAAGGCAATAATTAGAATCCATAATGTGTAGAGTAGAGACACAGAGGTGGGGTTCTATGTGGTTGGGGTTGCTTATATTCTTCAAAGTTTAGTGATCACCATTTTTTGTTTTTGCAGTAAAAGTCCTAGAAATGGACTGAAGGATATTTTATCCTCAACTAAGGGCACAGGTTTATACATAGGTGGATAAACACTAGTCAGATTTCTCTGTTTATATATTCCCCAAAATCTGTTCTATGGTCTATGCTATCATATTAATATATGTGTGCAATGACCTTTTCACATATTCAGACTCATCCATACCTTACTATCGCGTTTAAGTATAATAGCAGGTATTTAACTTTTGTATACAAATGTCCTGAACAAACTGGTCTTTCAGTGTTTTTTTCTGTTATCTGTTGACTTGTGCCTTAGATGCTCTTCCTTTTTCCTGCCTTTGCCCTTCCATTTACACCAGCTGAGTTATATGCTTGTCAAGAATTGGTTCTGTTCCCTTCAAAACTGCTTATGCTACCTGTAGTGGTTACGTGTTTTAATTAAATACCAAAAATATGATTAAATGAGTTTAAAGTAGAGAAAGTTTGTGGTTCAATTTAAAATGAAATTAGAAGCTTCCAAGAGACTGTAAAGAGTAGATTTAAAATCTCACCAAATTAGGTGTTTAGGTGATAACTGTAGGAGACCAGAAAAATATTTGGACGAATTTAGCCCTCAGAATGACCCCAAAAATGGCTAATTTTTCACACGGTTTGAAATGATGTAGAACTGGGATTCTAAAAAGATGCGTTATGCATTATTTGGATCTTGAGAAAATTACGGAGAGACAGTATTGGATCACAGTCACAGAAAGACCTTATATATTTTTCCTAACACTGTTGGGGATAAATATATACATTTATGAGTTCGAAGTTAAAATATTAAGATGATATCATTATGGTTCAGGTTAGTTAAATTTTAATTGACATATATAATTTACATACTATAAAATCACCCTTTAAAGTATACAGTTTATTTTTAATATATTTATAAAGCTGTCAACTACTATTAGAAGAGCTACTCCTTGCTCCCTTCCTCCAGCTACTGGCAACCACTAATCTACTTTCTGTCTCAATGGGATTTTATATTCCGGGCATTTCATATAAATTGAATCACATAATATGTAGCCTTTTGTGCCTGGCTTCTTTCACTTAGCATGTTTTCAAGGTTTGTGCACGTTCTTGCATGAATCAGTAGTGCATTCCTCTTTATGGCTGAATAATATTTAATTTATGGTTATAACAAATTTTGTTTATTCATCAGTTGATAGACGTGGAGTTTTTCACTTTTTGGCAATTATGAACAATGCTGTGAGGAATATTCATTTACGAGCTTTTGCATGGACAAATATTTTCAGTTCTCTTGGGGGCATACCTAGGAGTAAAATAGCTGAGTGATACGGCAATTCTATATTTAACTTTCTAAAGCAATATCTGCTTTCCAAAGGAGAATTGCACCATTTTACATTTTCACAAGCTACATATCAGGGATCTGATTTCTCTACATCCTTGCCAACACTTTTTATTTTCTGCCTTTTAAAATTATAGCCATCTAGGAGAATGTCTAGTGGTGGTATGTCATTGAGGTTTTAACTTGCATTTCACTGATGACTATTGATTTTGAAGATTTTTAAACATTAGTCACATCTATGTCTTCTTTGAAGAAATGTCTATGAAATCCTTTGCTTCTCCTTGTTTTTGTACCTTTTTGGATGTTCTTTTGTATTTTTAATTGACAAATATAGCATATATATTTATTGTGTACCATATGATGTTTTGAAATACATTTACATTGTAGAATGGCTTAAAATGTTCTTAAATGGAATGAGTTGCATTGGGAAAAAATGAGTTGTCAGTTAACAAATTAAGCACATGCTGGATGAGCATATATATGGCCTTTACATATATATAGAGCAAATAATTCATGATTGTCCAACAATGTGTGTGTAAATTGCATAAGCTGTGATATGATGACACACATGTCTTTGCTACAGTTTCTCTTGTCAAACCCTGATTCATTGAAGACATAAATCTCCTTGGAAAAAGTCCTTTGCCCATTTTTAATTATCTCATTTTGTGTGTTATCTTTTCACTGTTTTGATAATATCCTTTAAAATACAAAAGTTTTGAAGTTTATAAAGTTTAATTTGTCTGTTTTTCTTTGGTTGCTTGTACTTTTGCTGTCAAATGTAGGCAAACCATTGCTTAATCCAAAGTCACCAAAATATACAATTATGTTTTTAAGCAGTTTACAGTTTTTACTCTTATATTTAGGATTTGGGTTTTTGATTCACTTGAGTTAATTTTTATAGATGATGATGCAACACAAGCAAGCCTCAACTTTTGGGTTCAGTCCAGAAGGGTTCTTGGCTTTGCACAGGAAAGAATTCAAGGGTGAGCCAGTGCTGTTAGCCATCTCTTAGAACTGTAGGTACTGTTCTTTGTAGAACAGGCCTAACTCATAGGCAGGGTGCCCAGAGTCACCGACTTATAGGCTCTTTTACAAACTGTATTTGTACTCCCTTACATTCGCTTTCAATTACATGGATGGGTGAGTCAATTCAAATTGAGTGGGGAAGTTTATTTATAACTTTCTAGGAAAGGGGTGGTAACTTCTGGGTAGTTGTCTTGGTACTTGTAAACTGTCGTGGCGTTGGTGGTAGTATCCTAGTCCAATGAGCAATGAGGGCAACTAGGGATCACTTTCATCGCCATCTGCTGGTTCCTGCTAATTTCTTCACTTTATCCTGTTTGGGCCAGATTTTGTTTTGGTCAGCAGGGTTGTGACCAGAAAACAAGTCGTGCCAGTCTGTTACCACCATATAAGGTAGAGTTCCAAAATCTTTTTTTTTTTTTTTTGCATGTTGATATCCAATTATCCCAGCCCATTTATAAAACAGATTACTCTTCTCTAGTTGAAGTTTTGACATCTTTGTTGAAAATTAACTGATCATGAATGTATGTCTTTATTTCAGAATTCTCAATTCTGTTCCATGGATCTGTATGTCTGTCCTCATGTTGGTACAAAACAGTCTTGGTTACTGTAGCTGTGTAGTAAGTTTTGAAATTGGAAAGTGTGAGTCCTCTGACCTTGTTCATTTTCAGTACTATTGTGACTATTCAGGGTCCCTTGCATTTCCATTTAAATTTTAAATCACCTTATTTTGCATAAAAGGCAACTGAAATTTTGATAGTGATTC